ATGGTAAATCTTGTTGTTACAGGTGTGGCACTTCTTCCCACCCTGGAAAGGTGGGGTGCGGATGTATTTGTCCAGGCACTTGTTGTGGTATACATGGCCACAGTAGATCCTTTCAACATGCAGTGGCCCTGATTCACTTGTCTCAATGTCCTGCAGGTAATAAATGAGAATGAGCATGAGACTCTATGTTAATTTTTTGATATCTGACCTTTTAACTCACATTTTGGATCTTAAGAAAACATGTAAACTGGATTCACTTCAAACATTCAGGATAAAGGATCATATAGTGACCAAATTTTCCATGTAACAAAGCTACAAAGCACTACAACTGAAGTTTGCAAAGGAATGCAGGTATGGCAGAGCCATCTACTAACCCTTACCTTGGGGTTTGTGGGAAAGGCCTTCTTCCTGCACATCTTGCATTCTAATTTAGGATACAGGTGAACCTCAGACACAAGAAAAGAGACAACGGGTTCCATTGACGGCCTCAACACAAAAGGTGGGTCCTTAGGCCTTTTCTTGGCCGGTGGCTCAACACACTGACGAGCTATTTCTGTTGCCTGTGCAAGGAACCATCGGCGGAAGACTGATGGGAAGTTGCATTCCTTTTCCTCAATCCTGAAATATAATGAATGTTGTAATAAATTTTGTGCATGTGTGTAATGTTCCTAATCTCATGTGAATTTGACAAAAAGAAACACACTAACAGCATTAAGAATTATATCAAAATCTATCTCAGCTCTCCAAAAACAACACAGTGATGTCAAAGTAAACCTTCTTAATAAATATTCTAACATACATGTCACATACAAGAAAATATTTCATTCTTTTTTTTAGAATCATCATACAAAACAACGTCATCCCTTGAATGACTGAAAAGTGAAATCAAAGAATTAAATATGAATATAATCAACATTATACGTTGGCTATGGGATTTTTTTTTTTATTATATCTCAAGTAAATATATCACGACTACATGTTTATGTTCATTAATCAAAACTCTATATGCATAAGATATTAATAATCTAATCCTCTTGACACACAAAAAGTTTGCATTTTCTGACTGATTTTCATACCATGCCAATCACTACAAAGTGTCTATTTTGTTTTTGTTTTCATATCAACCAAAAACATGTTTTTGGCATAAATCATATCACTGGCATCATAAATACTGTTCTGCATTGTCAGTGGCATCATAAACACTCTTTTGCATCATAAGCACCCCCTTAATATATATAAATATAATAGATAGTCAACTGAAAGTAGTCTCAACTTCTAACACAAATATTATTTACCATATACTCTGTGAGTACAAATTTTGTGAGCCTTCACACACTGCAACCAGATTTATGATATAACCAATAGTTTTTAAGTAAATAGGAAAAAAAAAATTATTGTCTGACATTGTCCCTAAGCTGCTGAAGAACCAATTTATCTATGGAGTTGCCAATTAGTTTATTTGATACTATACACACCTTATCATGACACCTAGTGCTGTTGAGGTTTAAGCTTCACAAATATTTAACAAACATCAAACTTACCCAACCTGTTTATCTGGATAGTTTTCTGGCACCGTGATATTGTATTTCATTACGTATTGACCTTCTTGTACTTTCACAACCACAGATGATGTTTTCTGGCGTAATTTCAGCTCATCTGATCCTGCAATCAGTTTCTTCCTTACATTAGAAATTTCTTCTGAACAGCAGCAAAGTGGGTTTTCATCGATGAAATTGCGTACAAACCTCAACACATGCAAAACCTGTATTGGAAGAGAATTTGATACTGGAAAGACTGGATATTAGTTTTGAACCTATGAATTAACTCCATACTTTATACTTAGTAAGCTCCCTTTTTGATATTTGATCCTTAATTATCATGAGTGACATACCTATTTGATTTGCATCTATGTAGTGTTCTAAATTTTGTGTAACATCTCAATGTAATAACTTGCCCCCCAATCCGCTATAATTAACCTGCTGCAATAACCCTAACATTCCTTCATTATTATAAACATCATTCTATTAACTGTGCTATCAACAGTTTTGATGTAGATAAGGGGTTGAGCTGGTGAGAGAGAAATTAGAAGTGAGTGGTTTGACAGCAAGAGAAAGAGAGACATGAGACCAACAGACAGAGAGACAGAGGCAGAGGGAGGCTACTATGTCAATATTCTTAGGTTTGTTGAGATATAATATTACTGACTTTTTTAATGCATTTAATGTAATTTTTTTTAATTCTACATATAAATGGAATATATAAAAATTTCATCCTGATATCACTGAATAATGCCTGAGCATAAAATAACTATTCCCAATTCAATAGCTTCTTTCAAAATGAGTCATCTGATCTGACTTCTTTTATTCTGAAATGAATTCTCAACATTATTTGGAGAGTTCCTCTATGAGAATATACATCTTATTACTAACTACACAATAAACAATTCATCATTGAAAATTAGTAAAATATATATATATATATATATATATATATATATATATATATATATATATATATATATATATATATATATATATATATATATATATATATAACAGAAAGATAATCATAACAATTATCATCATGAACACATGGCATTCATTTAATACCTGTGGCTTCCCTAGATATTTCTTTGCTTCTTCTTCACACAACTTTACAAGTCCATCCAAAAGTTTTTCTGATACATGCCGGCTTTTCAATTCAATCAGTGCAAGGCTACTGGGGTAATCAGGCTGGAACTGGAAACACGCAACAATTTGTTTGTACTTCGTCCTCCTGGAAGTGTATGTCACAGATTTGAGGAAATTCTGATACAGTAATTTAGTAAACTAATTTAAATTTTACATAACAAAATTTGATACTTTAAGACTAACTGTAAAAGTAAAACTATAAAAGTAAAAAATCATAATAAAAATGTTGGTGAATGTTTAAAGGCATTCCTGTGTCCACCACTGGCCTTGCACTCCTTGGCATGGCCTCCATTCCCATAAACAAAGTTAACAAAGTGCTAGCATATATGATCCAACTAAGATACAGCTTTCAAACTTTCCTGATTATTTATATTCAATTAAAGAACCAGCCTAACTTACACTTTATCAGAATATAAAAGGTACAAGTTTGTTTGTGGCAATCATCTGATACTATCATGACGGATTTCTGATTGTAAGACATCCATCACAGATCACAGCAAGTTTTAAGTGGATTTGCAGAAAAAAAAAACAATAGTATTATAATAAAAATCCAATTTGGAGGGCCATTGCAGCATCTTCTAAACATTCACCAAATGCTGAACGAAAAGAAACAAAAGGCTATTTTGAATCTTACACAAAATTACAAAAGTATACACTAGGTCTTTAGTTTAACTCAATTTTAACTTTCCCTTGACAATTACAATGTCTGCAAAAGAGATTGTAATAAAACAGAAACACTTCATAAAACTACTCACTCTATGTTTACCCGAACCATTGCTGGGACACAAGCTTCAACAGTGCTGTCCGCAATTACTCGTGGAACACATTGCTGAAGCTCAGCTAACTCTGTCTCTAAAATTCCCATGATTGCGGGTTGCTGTAAATAAATCAAATTGATAATATTAAAAAAACATCTGAATGCACATATTAGCTGATATTTCAGTTATAGGTATGAAAGTTCTTCTGCATTAGCCTACATGGTTAATCTTTAGGGTATGGACACACTAAGTTATGGCAAATTGAATATCATATTCTTGTAGAGGACAAACAGTAGCAGTAGTCGGTACAAGAAATAATCTGCAGACACAAATGGTAATGCCACAAATAGAGGAAAAAGATCACAGAAAGTGGCGCTCTCAGCCATTGTCCATTCTGTGCTCCCAAGTTTCCGCTCTATCTTGCCATGCATACCAAGGTGAAGACAATCTTTCCCAAGAAGTGTTGGGGGGCAGAGCCCCCCATCAACCTTCCCCTCAGGTCACGCACAGTAACGACAACTAAGACTGATGAATAACTTTTTTGACATGGAGTTGGGGACTTAGTCTCTGGCAAGTGAGTCCATACTGTAAAGAATGTCTGCCTGCTTAAACATTTGCAGGCTTTGGGATAAATACATCCCAGTAAATCTATAAATTGTTGTTTTTTGTATTGAGAATGAAAAGAATTGCTTTGGCTTCTAATTTCCATTCCAGGCTTCGGGAGAAATACGTTTCAGTAAATCTATTAACTGTTGCTTTTGGTATCAAGAAATAAAAGAATCGCTAAATATTTGTTTCACTGGAAATCTTTAAAATTATAAAATAGATAAGTCTAGCATATCCAGCAGTAAGGCTTTACTTCTTCACCAAAAATAAAATTCTCTCACTCTCTCACTTTTGTATCAAACAATTTAATAAATAACAGAATACAGTTTATTTTCTTTATTTCTCTGCTCTCTTATTTCCATATATTTTTATCTTGTAAGTGACAGCTGGATGAAACTGAACCTATACCAAAAATTGTGAGTACTCACTCTTTCAAAAGTGGCCTATTTAATGGTAGCAACTCATACTCAAGACATAACTGGGAATGTAGGGCTCAATAAAGGTCGTAATCTGATCTAAAATTCGAAATTTGGCGTTTTAAATGTGAAAATGAAACGTATAGTACTTGCATCTGTAATGGTAGTAACAGAACGTTGGGACTAGTCTAGGAAAATACTTCACATTCTTAACCACGTTTATTATATATATAACATACTGTATTTAAAACACTCCTTTCTAAAGATTAAAATTTCACTGGTTCCGGAAAATGTTCACAAGAAACTTTAACAAATAAAAAACATTTCCTTTAACCATTCCCCTCCATATCAAAGCCATTAAACTCACTAGCGCATCCTAAAACACGTAGATCATATCCATAAAAATAATAATAAAAATCGAAATGCTGACTTATTAGTGGCTTAAGAATCAAATCCAGCCTAGGAATAAAGTGAAAGGTAGGTATACCTCGTTCTCAAGAAGGGTTTGTTGACAGTCGTGCGCGTTTGTGGTTGAGCGAAAAACTTGGGAGACAAACATTTTTCGTTTCTTTATCACATTAAAAGAAAAAAAAATAGAAAAAGTCTTTCTTGAAAATGTATCAATCGTTTTTCTTCCTGTGATTTTCGTTTTGCTTTGCGGAGAAAGCTTTTAAAGCCTAACGTCTGTATATTTCTTCTACTTTGAATGTGAGGCAAATGGTAATCCCACAAATACGAATCTTTAACAACAATATGATAATAATGACAATAATGATAATGATAGTAGTAATAGTAGTAGTAGTAGTAGTAGTAGTAGTAGTAGTAGTAGTAGTAGTAGTAGTAGTAGTAGTAGTAGTAGTAGTAGTAGTAGTAGTAGTAGTAGTAGTAGTAGTAGTAGTAGCAGCAGCAGTAGTAGTAGTAGTAATTATTATAATAATAATGATAAAAACAATGAAATAAGAACAACAGCAATGCTAATCATGATAAGATAACTGTAATAATAACAATAACTCTAATGATAATAATGATAACACTAGTAACAGTAATAACAATAGTAATGATGATAGAAGTGATATTGCTAACAACATGAACAGTAACTACAACAACAACAATAATAATTATTATTATTACCATTATTATCATTATTATCATCATTATCATTTACACGTTATACCGACGTTTTCTTAACCATCTGTCTGCGTAGTGTTTGATTCCTCTTGGTGACTGTCTTGTCTTCCAGTGTCTTTTTCTCTTCGGCTTTGGTGATGGGGATGTTGACAACCGAAGGAGGGACTGCTGTACCGCCACACCTCTGCTCTCTTCATCGCATTGCTGCATTCTTTAGAGCCTCTGGTGTCAACACTCTGCTCTCGCTCCATGCTGGTAGTACATTTCTTGTTATTTTTGTGTGACTCCTTGTTTCTTCAGATTTTTCTTGATAATTTTCCTCACGAATAAGTGGGCGGAGATGCCCGAGTGATGCCCAAGCAGGTGGCATGTAGGGACAAGACGTTTGTCGACGTGCGAGGCACCGACGACGCCTCATCGTCCAGCTCCTGTCGTCCCAGTCGTCCATCATGTCCATCACGGACTCTATTGCATCCACGGAGTCCTGTCTGGCGAGGAGCGAGTCCATTATATCCCTCTGTGTTGGATGTCGACCCAGAACACGAAGCATCTCTATGCTATTTTACGTTTTCAGTTGTATAACTATTCGAGACAAAAAAAAATTCTTGGATCCAAGATTTCGTCAATTTGTTAATTGTTCTTCCTATTCTTACCAATATCATACCTATAAATATCACCGATAATGTTATCAAAATCAGCACCATCACCATTTTGAATAACAATTGCTCTCATCTTCCTTATGATTACAGTCGAGACTAGTGTTACAACTACCCTTATTATTGTGATTCGATATGTATTCTTTTGCTTCATGCTCTATATCGATTAGGATTATCATTACCATTATTACATATGCATATGGTCATTATGACCATATGCATATGTAATCATAATCATAATATTCATCATTATAATGCTAATACTAACACGTATTGTTATCCATATTACCTGTCTAAATAAGTGTAACAGAATATATGCAATTGCGTGTATATATTTTGCGCGTTATACACGCACACACAAATATGTATATGTATGTATGTATACATATATATGTAAATATATTATGTATATATGTATGTATACAGATAAACTTATATATGTGTGTGTGCGTGTATGTATATATACATTAAAATATAAGTATATATATATGATCTGGATGTACATGAATACATACATGCATACACTTATATGTGGGTGTGTATAAATGTGTGTATATGTGTAATATACACGTAATATACATATACGCATATGTATATCTATAACTATCTATTTATATATATTAATTTATATATGTGTGTGTATGGAAGTGTATAATGTGCAAGTCTGTGCACAGAGTTCATTATGACATAATTAGGCGAGATATAAATAAAAATGAATAACCTCAAAGTGCAAGACATGTAGTTGATCTCTTGTGCTGCGAATTTTCCCCTTTTGCTTCTTGCGTTTTCTTCAAAATGAAGGTATATACATATACATGGTATATGACATAGAACTTATGGTATATATGAATATTCATATTCTACAAAATTCGTGTGAGACTCGAATGACCCTGTCACGACATATTCCTGTTGCCATAGTTCAAGTGAATGATTTGTTAATTTCGTATTTTGCTTATAAAAATGGTATCAATCGTTAGATGCCGATGGCTACTTCATTTTCATGTTTTATGCATTTTCAATATAAGCATTTTTCTTTCCCTTAATAAGGCTTCATTTCAGTTTTCTTATCACAATATGTATGGGTTGTGTGAAATGAGTATGGGTATGTAAGATATGTTTTTATAGGGAAAGGTTCATAAAAACTGTGTTTAAACTATATTTAAAGACTTTATTCACATTTAGTACGGGATATATCAGTATGATGTATTGCAATGATTCAATAGTAATACCTAAATTATATATACAGTGAATGTGAAATATTTTTTACACGTTATATCGACGTTTTCTTAATCATCTGCCTGCGTAGTGTTTGATTCCTCTTTCTGTTCGTCGTTGGAGACTGTCTTGTCTTCCAGTGTCTTTTTCTCTTCGGCTTTGGTGATGGGGATGTTGACAACCGAAGGAGGGACTGCGTCGCACTTGTGGCTCAGCTCAAGCCGCCCGTCTTTCTGCGTCGCCGTCAACGTCTCGGCTTTGACGTGTGGAGGAAGCCTTGTCACGTGACGAACCATCACTGACGAGTCACTGTCGCGCCCACGACCCTCCACAACCAGCAGTCCATCTTCCGTGAACGCCTGCACTTCGTCACATCCACCCAAGTCTATGCTGTACCGCCACACCTTGTCTACGCTCTTATTGTCATTGCTGCATTTATTTTTATCATTAGTTACTACACTCTTCTCTTTCTCTTCCATTCTCCCACTGTTACATTTCTTGTCATTCCGTGTGGTATTTTCTTTATCGTGCTTATTTCTATTGAGATTTTCCTCACTCTTCTTGGCAGAACGAGTGTGGTCGCCCGAACGAACAATCAGCAAAGGAGTGTCGTCGAGAAGTGGGCGGAGATGTCTGACTGAGGCCCAAGCAGGTGTCATGTAGGGAAACGACCTTTGTCGACGTGCGAGGCACCGACGAGGCCTCATCTTCCAGCTCCTGTCGTCCCAGTCGTCCATCATGTCCATCACGGACTTCATTGCATCCATGGAGTCATGTCTTGCGAGGAACGAATCCATGATATCCCTCTGTGTTGGATGCAGACCCAGAACACGAAGCATCTTTATGTTTTTTGTTGATATCAGTTTAACGTTTCGAAGCTCAGCAGGTTTCTTGAATTCAAGTACACGTTGTGGTATGTCTTTCTGGTGGTCGGAAAGTTCCTTGGTGTAGTTATCGCAGTGGCAGTTGAACTGTTTCTGAGTTCAGCCTTGCCACTGGCGCGCTTTTATCCACAGAAAACGTTCCCTGGCGACACTAGAGAAAACGAGAATGTTCTCAAAGATTCCAGACCATTTCCGCACATTCCATAGAATTCTAAAGGTCTTGCATTGTAATTAAGCTGACATTCTCCCGCTCAGACGCTGTTAATTTTATCTAGCATTCCTAAAATCTTTATTGTTTTCTTACCTCAATAATTTATCCTATCAAATATAGTGTAAAGTGGGCATGAATTTGTTGTTAATTGTTGTTGCTATTGTTGTTATTACCAATTTCATAACTAGGAATAGCGTCGATAATGTTATTTATATCATCATTTTAGCAGACGATCACTGTCATGATTTTACTCGAGATAAGTTTCATATTTGCTTTATCATTATCAATAAATGTTTATTCTTTTGCATCGTACTTTATGTTGTTTCAGATTGGCATCACCATTTATGTATAACCACGATAATCATGATCACAATATCTATCATCGTCATAATGGAAATCATGTTTATAATAAGATGTACTGCCATCAGAAATCCTATCACTAAAACACACGCACGCGCGCACACACACACACAAACGCACGCTCACACGCAAACACATATTTTTACATGTGCATGTATGTATCTATATATATGTACACACACACACACACACACACACACACACACACATATATATATATTTCTATATATATATATATATATATATATTATATATATATGTATATGAATATTTACATATATACATATCTGTAAAAGCACATATAAATATTTTTATATACATACATATACTAATTTGTGTGTGTGATGTGCGTATGTTTGTGTGTGTGTAGATATGTATTCGTATGCATTCGTGTATAAACAAATACCTATGCCATTATATATATATATATATATAATATATATATATATATATATATATATATGAATATATGTATGTATGTGTGTATTCACATGCATGTCCATATGCACATGTATGCATACACATATATTATGATATATATAAATATATACATATTTATTTGTGTTTATCTACATATACATAAATAACATATTCATATACACATATATAGATGAATATGTGTATATGTATATATACACAAATATATATATACATACAAATGTAGGTGTATATGACATATGAGTATATGCACGTATGTGTGATATGTATATAACATATGTATACATATGTATGTATGTATATATTCACATATGTACATATCTATATGCATGTATTTACAAAAATATATATATGTATGGGTGTACATATGTGTGTGTGCGCGTGTGTGTATTTGTATAAAAGTGTACATTTGCATATGCTTATATATGCATATATACATTGCGATCTATACGATATATATATATATATATATATATATATATATATATATATATATATATATATACATATATACTATGTTTATGTATAGATATATAAGCAATGTATCCATATACCGAAATCTAGTTGAATTAAAACAATATTAGATATTTGTCGTGATTGTAGTCGCCGCCACCACGATCGTTTTCTCAGTGAATTGA